GAGCGCCAAATCTAGGTCCAAAAGGCTTCTTAACAGGTTCTACCCCAAGCCATAAGACTGCTGAACAGCTAATTAAATGGCTACCCGGACTATTTGCATTGACCACGCTGCTGCTACTCGCTGTTTATTATCTATTATCTATGCATTGTCACTTTACCCCTGCCTACATGTGCATATTACCTCGACTAACCTGTACCCCTGCACATTGACTCAGTACCGGTACCCGTTGTATATAGCCTCGTTATTGTTATTTTATTGTTGCTCTTTTATTTTTTACTTTAGTTTATTTAGTAAATATTTTTATTATCTCTTATTTTTCTTAAAACTGCATTGTTGGTTAAGGGCTTGTAAGTAAGCATTTCACGGTAAGGTGTTATATTCGGCGCATGTGACAATTTGATTTGATTTGTTTCAGATCTACACAAGTGCCTAGGGAGGAGGGGTTAGGGTTTCTTCTGGACAGGACAGAGCCTAACTACTGGCCCAATAAGCACATGCCCTAGAGATATCACTTATTAGGACAGTGGTTAGGGGGACGTTGATGGAATGTTCTCCTGAACACAATGTTCTTGCAACGTTCCCATGAAATATGTCTAGAACATTCATATCTTAAATTATAAGAACATGGTAACCACGTTCTGGGTACATTTTGACATTTGACATTAAGGGAATGGTCTTGGAAACATTCCATGCACATCAGGGAACATACCTATGAAAACGTTAGTTAATTACCTAATGAGACTCTTAAGGGAACGTTCTCTAAAGTTGTGGGAACGTTTGTTGTTAGCTGCCTAAAATGTCTGTACTTCAACCCATGCCAGATATCCCTCAGGTTGTTGTAATGACTATGGTGGATGGCAACCTGAAAAAGATCTTTACAAGTAAGAAAATCTAACACTTTCAACACTGTTGAAGTTCCTTTAAAAGTACCATAATGTGCCAGTTATGCCAGTATTTATTGGCCGACAAATATAATCTGTAATGTCACATTTCAAGCTGGGGAATGAGGTTACGAAGCTAAATCCGTCACATAGAGAAGCAACACATTTCTGTTTGATTCAATCATCTTTCTCTAGATGGAATGCAGTAATCAGCTGGGCATCCCAATGAACTGCACCCTTCCCGTAAAGGACTGCGATAAGGAGGGAAATGTAAATTAAGATGTAGATGTGCTGCTGCTGAAAGCGATCATCAAAATCACACATTTTGAAAAGGACTACATACAGTGAGGGGGGAAAAAAGTATTTGATCCCCTGCTGATTTTGTACGTTTTCCCACTGACAGACATGATCCGTCTATAATTTTAATGGTAGGTTTATTTGAACAGTGAGAGACAGAATAACAACAAAATAATCCAGAAAAACGCATGTCAAAAATTTTATAAATTCATTTGCATTTTAATGAGGGAAATAAGTATTTGACCCCTTTGCAAAACATGACTTAGTACTTGGTGGCAAAACCATTGTTGGCAATCACAGAGGTCAGACGTTTCTTGTAGTTGGCCACCAGGTTTGCACACATCTCAGGAGGGATTTTGTTCCACTCCTCTTTGCAGATCTTCTCCAAGTCATTAAGGTTTCGAGGCTGACGTTTGGCAACTCGAACCTTCAGCTCCCTCCACAGATTTTTTATGGGATTAAGGTCTGGAGACTGGCTAGGCCACTCCAGGACCTTAATGTGCTTCATGAGCCACTCCTTTGTTGCCTTGGCCGTGTGTTTTGGGTCATTGTCATGCTGGAATACCCATCTATACGACCCATTTTCAATGCCCTGGCTGAGGGAAGGAGGTTCTCACCCAAGATTTGACGGTACATGGCCCCGTCCATCGTCCCTTTGATGCGGTGAAGTTGTCCTGTCCCCTTAGCAGAAAAACACCCCCAAAGCATAATGTTTCCACCTCCATGTTTGACGGTGGGGATGGTGTTCTTGGGGTCATAGGCAGCATTCCTCCTCCTCCAAACACGGCGAGTTGAGTTGATGCCAAAGAGCTAGATTTTGGTCTCATCTGACCACAACACTTTCACCCAGTTCTCCTCTGAATCATTCAGATGTTCATTGGCAAACTTCAGACGGGCCTGTATATGTGCTTTCTTGAGCAGGGGGACCTTGCGGGCGCTGCAGGATTTCAGTCCTTCACAGCGTAGTGTGTTACCAATTGTTTTCTTGGTGACTATGGTCCCAGCTGCCTTGAGATCATTGACAAGATCCTCCCGTGTAGTTCTGGGCTGATTCCTCATCGTTCTCATGATCATTGCAACTCCACGAGGTGAGATCTTGCATGGAGCCCCAGGCCGAGGGAGATTGACAGTTATTTTGTGTTTCTTCCATTTGTGAATAATTGCACCAACTGTTGTCACCTTCTCACCAAGCTGCTTGGCGATGGTCTTGTAGGTCTACAATCATGTCCCTGACATCCTTGGAGAGCTCTTTGGTCTTGGCCATGGTGGAGAGTTTGGAATCTGATTGATTGATTGCTTCTGTGGACAGGTGTCTTTTATACAGGTAACAAACTGAGATTAGGAGCACTCCCTTTAAGAGTGTGCTCCTAATCTCAGTTTGTTACCTGTATAAAAGACACCTGGGAGCCAGAAATCTTTCTGATTAAGAGGGGGTCAAATACTTATTTCCCTCATTAAAATGCAAATCAATTTATAACATTTTTGACATGCGTTTTTCTGGATTTATTTGTTATTCTGTCTCTCACTGTTCAAATAAACCTACCATTCAAATTATAGACTGATCCTTTCTTTGTCAGTGGGCAAACGTACAAAATCAGCAGGGGATCAAATACTTTTTTCCCTCACTGGATGGGACCTTCAACACCAGGAGAGTTGCACTTTAAATGGAGCTTGATGTGGTGTACTGTTATTAACACCAAGTTGTGTCAAACTGCTTTTGAAAACATTGTGGGCATGTCCAGCTTGCCTTGGATGTATTGGATCTTTTTTGCTGTACTATAACCTGTCTTTTGAGAAGATTAAATTAGTTAATTGAAATGTATTGGTACATTTTGAATTCTTTACAAAGAAAACTGTGATGAAATTAGGAATTATACTGTACAACGTTGACTACAGTTTTGTTTTGTCGATCCTGTAGTAGATGACTGACTCTCCAATACAATGTAGAGTCAATAAACTTGGATACATGCAGATATACTGTAAACACCTGTGAAAAGCTAAAGACAATTTAAAAACCTTATTTTCCAGGACAAAATACCATACCAGTTTAGCTTTGTATTTATTCACACAAAACAAAATACATTTTTTTAATAAGGCAACACAATATATACATACAATGACTTATATATGAATACCGTATTTAAATGTAAAGTTATTTCATGACAAACAAGTCATTCAGTACCAGCACTAGCCTGAACACAGTCATGGTTTAGCAAGTCTTGTAAAAGAGTACCAGATGCTAAAGCTTCTTCAAAAGTATCCTTCTTGTTGGTGTCCATTAGAAATGTGGAATTTTGTAGAATTATCTAAGCAGATACAAGCTTTTGACAGTGATGTCTCTGACAAAACATCCCTTTCCGATTGTGTACTATGAACAATGGGACATAAAATATCAAGACCCAGAACCCTTTTCCAAAAGAAAGACTCAGAACAGAAACACTTTTGTTGAAATAACTTCCAATACAAGACCACTGAATCCTATTCATTTACGTACAGCGCAACCAAACTCCAATAGCATTTACTGAGCACATTTCTTGTTACTTTCATTAGCTGTGTAAGATACAACAAAAACATATTATCCGATATTGAACATCTTGATCACTGAGGATTCATGTTAGAGACATTTGGGCAATATGACGGATGACTTCAGAGTGCTTGCATGGTGAAAGCTCCATTTGTTTAGTGTTAAATGTCTCCACATGCAGATCACTATTTGGCAACTGTGTTTGACTGTACAAAGTAGAATAATTATAGAAGAAAAACATGTGACAAGCCTACAAATGGCTTACTGCTTGATCTGAGTTTGATACCTAGCTTATTAGTATTTCTCAATATTTTGTGCCCTAAACCATGTCTCTGAAGTCAAATTAGTAGGTTGCTAGAAAGTTTGTGTTCCTTCTCTTCACTGCTGAGACTGAGTTCACAATCATTTACAAAAATATAATTATATTCTGCATAACAAACATCAATAATATAGATTAGTACTGAATTAGAAGATGAGCAGACATGGAGAGTGACTTGAAAACAACACCTTGGAAAATACCCTGGCCCATGAAGTATCAGTTCAAACCTGACCTGGGTTCAAATGCATGTGTATTACTTTCTATTTATATACTTGTGTTTGAGTATTTTCAAATAATTTGGCCTGAATCAACTACTTCTATTGGAAGCCTACTATTTGAGAGTATTTTCAAATACTTATTTCAAATACTATTTTCAAATACCTGGGTTAAATGCATGGGAGTGTATTTAAGTCAGTGCATTTGAGTTTAGTCAAATACATGCCAATACATTCCAAGTGTATTTCCAAATAGATTCCAATATTCAACTACTTGTCTTTTCAAATAAAAAATATCTGAATATTTACTTGGAAATGTATATGAAAGTAATTGAGATATTTGAAATAGTATTTGAACCCAGGTCTGGTTCAAACAGATCTGGTTCTGTTGTTATGCATGATGCAATAGTGGGGCTCAGCTGTAACTGTTCAAAACACACAGTTGATAAGGCCATGAAGTGATGTGTTACGAAACAAAATATTAAGGTTCGTATCAAGCTCATATCATAATAGTGATTTAAATATGATGGTACACTTAATGGTAGTACCCTGCCTGGATTATTTGTGGACAGTTGGATTTCAGAGCATTAGATAAGTGACGTCTACAGTTCAGGATGTAGTGGCTAGGGGATGTGTGTGGTTTCCTTGTCTTACTACACACAAACGCAATAATGCCCCACACACACCTACAGTCTCTCTCTCTCACTCATGTGTATGTAAACACAAAACAGGCCTTCCACACACACACACACACACACTTCTCAGCCATAGTTGTAGGTGAAGTTGTAAGTGCTGGGCTCCTTTGGCACGGGGGGAGGGGCTTCGGGTATGGTGATGTTCTCCAGGTCCAGGAGGCGGAGCTTCATCTCCATGGAGATGAGTGTGTCCAGGTCGCTGCGGGTGAGGTCACTGCCCATCTCTCGGCCCAACAACGCACACAGCCCATCAGTCCAGATACAGTACTGCTCCATGCACAAGCAGGCAGACAGGCACACAGACACACAAAGCAGACAGAGAGCACAGGTCAGATAACATACAGTACATTTGCAACACACACTCATATACATGTCTTCAGAGTTGTATTTATTCTGGGGTTAAACGGGTTGCTTACCTCATATTTGTTGGGAGCCACAAAGTTGAGGTTCTCATCAGGATCGTACAGGATGGAGAAGGCCAGCTCCAACACCTCCTACACACAGAACAGAGATCACATCTCATATCCACAACTCTAATATGAACTGCATGCACTAGAATGACTAGATATTTCATGGATGGGCCCTGGTCAAAAGTAGTGCACTATAAAGGGAACAAGTTGCCATTTGGGACGCATCCATAAACATTGAGATGAATAAGATGAAGGGCTAGTAGTTACATATCAGTTAAAGGCATGCCCTCTGCTGGTAGGCTCCAGTACAGTACCTTGTTTTGTTTCAGTGCACTCTTCTCCTTCATGTGGGGACAGTCCTTCCCCGTCACCACTGACTTGATATCAGACACGGGGACTGCAGGGGAAGATTAGAAAGAGCAGGAAATTAAAAAGAGATGAAACAGGCATGTATCTAGGTCAGCCACTGCACAGTTCCACTGATCTAGGCGTGATGTGGATCAGTCCGTTTTAAGACTTGGTTGTTTACCATCCATATCTGTGCAACATCAGCTCAAAGCTAGACTGAGAACAACATGAGGTGTGGCCTATGCCTAAAAAAAAACAGTAAAACTGAAGCCTTTCCATGTGCTTTGAGACTTCACCTGATGAGCTTTTAGATGGACAACCTCACTCAAATCTCATGATTGCACAGGTCACAGAGCCCATCGCTGTAGAGAGTGAGTGGGAGACACTTAGTGTTGTAGCCAGGAGACTCACTCTTGTCGGTGAGCAGCTCAAAAGGCACTTCCCCCTGGGGAGACTCGTCCAGATCTCCATAGTGCAGCACCTTGTGGTTCAGAGACAGGCGGCAGAACCAGAACTTCTCTGAGGAGGACAAAACAAAGGACAAAGTTAGGAATAAAGACAAAGGTAGTGATCAGTCCTCTGAAGTAAATCAACAGCAAGAAAATATTTTTATTAAAACATCAGGTAAATGCTGCCATATTTGTTATTGTGTATGTGTGCGTGTAGGGTTCCCACCTTGTCTGCGGCGGTTGCCAAGCTTGCGGAAGCAGCTTCCCTCACACAGGCGGTTGAGTCGCTGTTGCTTGATCAGCTCCAGTATCTCAGGCTGGATCCTCTCACGCAGTTCACTGCAACAAACAAACACACACACACACACACACACATACAGTAGGTCTCTAAGTATTGAACAGCAACTAAGACAAGACTGAGGCAAGGCTAAAATAATGACATGAGGGGTTAAGAAGCCAAACACAGAGGCAGACTAATCTAATGGACAAAGTCTAAGAGTTAACATGGATGCGTGACTGACATGATGGGTGGTGACTGGAAGTCGTCCTGGCTCATCCTCTCTGACTGGCGCAGACGCAGGATCTCAGAGTAGCTGAGGCCTCGTAGTTTCCCTTTTAGCTGGTCCAGGGACGAGGGCTTCATAGCCAGAGCCCGGGTGATCTGCTCCCGAACCACCTGCATCACCTGACCAACCAAGGGTTAGCAACACAATGGATTACCAACCACAGTCAACCACGCATTGGAGCCAATGGCTACATCCAATATTCCACAATTTTCCAGTAGTGTGCACTTTAAAAGCATAGGATTGGTGTAAGCATTGGCTGGAGGGAGTTTCCACATTGTAAAATCCATACGAGAAAGTGTGCAAGTGCACACTTCCGGACAAGGGTGAAGAATCGTGACTCAGCCTATGAGGTTCAGAGATTCTGCGGTGGTCAAAGGTCTCTAGGTGGTTGAACTCTGACCTTGTTGAAGTCCTCGGCCGTGGCCCTCATCTCCTTCCAGGTCTTGTTGAGCAGTTGGATGCAGACGCAGAAGAACTCCTCCCACGCCCGGTCGTGAGTAAAGAACATGGGGTGGTAGTCGTTGCAGCCCTCGTTGGCTGGAGAAAGGGAACACACACAGTGGATGCTTATTATAACACGTGGTTGTCATGAAAAAGAATGAATCAGTTATCCCTCTGACGATACATGTACAATAGAACTGATGAGATTGGCCATTCTGATTAGCTTGGAAAGCTCCAAACAGATTGAGGCTAGCTTGAATGCCACATCAGCCGTAAAGCCATCTGTGATGTGTTGTGATGAGTCCATGTGTGAGGGTGTGAGAAGTGGGAGCATTGTACTCACGCAATTCTCCCACTTGCAGTATCTCACACAGCATACGGGTGAGCTCGATGGCACAGCGTCCGAAGGGACACTCGTGTTTGTCCTCGCGGCTGCTGTTCTCCAGAACAATCTGATGTGAGAAACACACACACACATTATATATATATATATATATAGAGATAGTCACACTCGGGAAAACTGAAGTTCTACCATTTGAAATCTTCAAATATTTGTTTTCAGATTTCTTTCACAGACAACTAAAATGGCAAGCTATTCCCTATATAGTGCACTATAGGTAAAAAAGTAGTGCACTATATAGGGAATAGGGTACCATTTGGGCCGCACATACAGACTCACCCTGATGTAGGTGTCCTGGTGCAGCTTGGCCAGGTAGAGCATGTTGTCCAGGGCCAGCATGCCTGGAGGGGTCTGAGTGAAGTCCATGGCAGGGTTCACATGGTTCTGGAGAGACAACAGACATGAGCGTCAATGACACAGACAGACCCATAACAACTCCTCTAGAGAGCAGCAGCTCTACCAACCCCTCTACAGAACCAAACAATCCCTTTATGACACCAAACAACCACTTTAATACATCCACACACACTCCGACTCAAACAACCCCTCTAGAGAGCTATACAGATGAAAACAACCCACTAGCTGGACTCACAGTGAAGCCCAGCATCTTGTAGTCCTTGGTGTACATGGCCTTTCTCTTCTCTGTGCCACTAGGGTCATTCTCCCCGTCAAACGCAATCCTGCGCAGCTCAAAAATAATGTCCCTCTGGGCCTGGAGATGGATGAGGGCAGAACATAAAAACATCAAACAGTATGAATATGGCCAAAAGGGTTCAGCTAAAAGATTCAGGAAATGCAAAAAAAAGAAAAGACCGCTTTTGTTAGTTTCTGGTCATTTTACCTGGTCACTGGGATCCATCTTGGTCATCATGCGTTCTTCCAGAAGGTTAAAGGTCAGCACCTGCAGCACGTACAGCTGGTGTGCCATCTCAGCTTTGATTGGTCGGTTGCCTCGGATAACGTGCTGTGAAAGATGACACATATATTAGGAGTTCTGGATCTGTAATGTTAAGAAAGCATCACGTTATTATGAAGGGCTGTTTAGAAAGCATCACGTTATTATGAAGGGCTATTTAGAAAGCATCACGTGATGCTTTCTAAATAGCCCTTCATAATAAGGTGATGCTTTCTAACAGCCCTGCATAATAACGTGATGCTTTGTAAATAGCCCTTCATAATAACATGATGCTTTCAAAACAGACCTTCATAATAATGTGGTGCTTTCTAAACAACCCTTCCAAATAACGTGATGCTTTCTAAACAGCCCTTCATAATAACGTGATGCTTTCAAAACATTCCTTTATAATAATATGATGCTTTCTAAAAAAAAGTCATAATAATGTGATGCAACAAGTCCTTCATAATAACGTGATGCTTTATAACAACCCTTCATAATATCGTGATGCTTCCTAAACAGCCCTTCATAATAACGTGATGCTTTCTAAACAGCCCTTCATAATAACGTGACGCTTTCTAAACAGCCCTTCATAATAACGTGATGCTTTCTAAACAGCCCTTCATAATAACGAGATGCTTTCTAAACAGCCCTTCATAATAACGTGACGCTTTCTAAACAGCCCTTCATAATAACGTGATGCTTTCTAAACAGCCCTTCATAATAACGAGATGCTTTCTAAACAGCCCTTCATAATAACGAGATGCTTTCTAAACAGCCCTTCATAATAACGAGATGCTTTCTAAACAGCCCTTCATAATAACGAGATGCTTTCTAAACAGCCCTTCATAATAACGAGGTGCTTTCTAAATAGCCCTTCATAATAACGTGATGCTTTCTAAAGCATTGTGTTATTATGAAGGGCTGTTTAGAAAGCATTGTGTTATTAAGAAGGGCTGTTTAGAAAGCATCGTGTTATTATGAAGGGCTGTTTAGAAAGCATCACGTTGTGAGAGTCAGGCATCACGTTATTATGAAGGGCTGTTTAGAAAGCATCACGTTATTATGAAGGGCTATTTAGAAAGCACCACGTTATTATGAAGGGCTGTTTAGAAAGCATCTTGTTATTATGAAGGGCTGTTTAGAAAGCATCTCGTTATTATGAAGGGCTGTTTAGAAAGCATCTCGTTATTATGAAGGGCTGTTTAGAAAGCATCTCGTTATTATGAAGGGCTGTTTAGAAAGCATCACGTTATTATGAAGGGCTGTTTAGAAAGCGTCACGTTATTATGAAGGGCTGTTTAGAAAGCATCTCGTTATTATGAAGGGCTGTTTAGAAAGCATCACGTTATTATGAAGGGCTGTTTAGAAAGCATCACGTTATTATGAAGGGCTGTTTAGAAAGCGTCACGTTATTATGAAGGGCTGTTTAGAAAGCATTGTGTTATTATGAAGGGCTGGTTAGTTGTAGCTCTGGTTTGTGCCATCCAAGACAAGTACACTCAGGCTTTCCCTGACACTCACATTGAGGATGATGGATCGTAGGTGTTTCTGTGCCAGGGTGCTCGCCATCTCCTGAGAGGAAGATAGACAAATACAGTGAGACTCAAAAGCGAGGCCTGGTATGGAAATAGTTAGCCAATAAGCTTACTACCAGACAACAATATCTAATTTGAGGAAAGGCTTACAGCCATATCACACAACCCTGAAAGGGGTTCATAACTGTTACATTTCCATTTTTGGGTGGGGTCACATCATCAGAAACATATCTCCCCCTTACAGCAGTGAGACATGTCTCAGAGTGCAGAATGCTGCTTCTACAACTAGGGGGATCCAGAGTGACTATGAAAGGATTGCATAATGTATTCTTCACGGCTGACTTTATCTAAGTTGATTGGACGATGACGGTGGCAGTCCACAGTTCTCTATGGATCAGGAAGGGGGGGGGGGGGGGGGCTGAGGGGATGGAGTGAAGGATTGTGGAATGATGTGTACTCACAGTGAGCTGCTGGTCCAGGGGGTTAGTATGCTCCTCCTGAGGGGGTGGGTTGGGAGGAGGGGTGCAGGCGTGACGGCAATGGAAACAAAGAGTGCACACTTATAGGCACACATCACAAGACACAGCATGCACAGTAACAGCATGGTACAGTACAGTACACCTTGGTAGTGAGGAACAGCACATCACAGCACAATACGGCAATGCACAGCGGAGTATGGCACAGCACTGAATGAGATGTACAACACAATGCAGTGTTGTGTGGCAATGCATGAACACACAGCACAGTAGAGCACAGTACAGTACAGCATAGCATGGAGTCTCTAGAGGCTGAAAGACAGAGCTCAGACTGACATGCTCCTCTGGTTGTATGAATAGTATACATGTAGGTTTGATGTCAAATTTTATTTTTGCACTTCAAAATATGATATCTTCACTTCATTACTTTTGTAAAATAAATATACTACACTGAACCAAAATATATAACGCAACAATTTCAACGATTTTACTCTGTTACAGTTCATATAAGGAAATCAGTCAATTGAAATACATTTATTAGGCCCTAATCTATGAATTTCACGACTGGGAATACAGATATGCATCTGTTGGTCACAGATACACTACATGACCAAAAGTATGTGGACACCTGCTCGTCAAACATCTCATTCCAAAAAAATTGGTATTAATATGGAGTGTGTCCTCCCTTTGCTGCTATAACAGCCTCCACTCCTCTGGGAAGGCTTTCCACTAGATGTTGGAACATTGCTGTGGGGACTTGCTTCCATTCAGCCACAAGAGCATTAGTGAGGTTGGGCACTGATGTTGGCCGACTAGGCCTGGCTCGCAGTCTGCGTTCCAATTCATCCCAAAGGTGTTCAATGGGGTTGAGGTCAGGGCTCTGTGCAGGCCAGTCAAGTTCTTCCACACCGATCTTGACAAACCATTTCTGTATGGACCTCACTTTGTGCATGGGGGCATTGTCACGCTGAAACAGGAAAGGGCCTTCCCCAAACTGTTGCCACAAAGTTGGAAGAACAGAATCGTCTAGAATGTCATTGTATGCTGTAGCATTAAGATTTCCCTTCACTGGAACTAAGGGGCCTAGCCAGAACCATGAAAAACAGCCCCAGGCCATTAATCCTCCTCCACCAAACTTTACAGATGGCACTATGCATTGGGGCAGGTAGCGTGCTCCTGGCATCCACCAAACCCTGATTCGTCCGTCGGATTGCCAGATGGTGAAGCATGATTCATCACTCCAGAGAACGCGTCTCCACTGCTCCAGAGTCTAATGGCGGTGAGATTGACACCACTCCAGCCGACGCTTGGCATTGAGCATGGTGATTTTAGGCTTGTGTGCGGCTGCTCGGCCATGAAAACCCATTTCATGAATCTCCCGACTAACAGCTATTGTGCTGACGTTGCTTCCAGAGGCAGTTTGGAACTCGGTAGTGAGTGCTGCAACCGAGGACAGAGGATTTGTACGTGTTACGCGCTTCAGCACTTGGCAGTCCCGTTCTGTGAGCTTGTGTGGCCTACCACTTTGCGGCTGAGCCGCTGTTGCTCCTAGACGTTCAGCATTATCATGCTGAAACATGAGGTGATGGCGGTGGAGGAATGGCATGACAATGGGCCTCAGGATCTCGTCACGGTATTTCTGTGCATTCAAATTGCCATCGATAAAATGCAATTGTGTTCGTTGTCGGTAGCTTATGCCTGCCCATACCATAACCCAACCGCCACCATGGCGCACTCTGTTCACAACGTTGACATCAGCAAACCGCTTGCCCACACAATGCCATACACGTTGTCTGCCATCTGCCCGGTACAGTTGAAACCGGGATTAATCTGTGAAGAGCACAGTTCTCCAGAGTGCCAGTGGCCATCGAAGGTTAGCATTTGCCCACTGAAGTCGGTGACGATGCCGAACTGCAGTCAGGTCAAGACCCTGGTGAGGATGACGAGCATGCAGATGAGCTTCCCTGAGATGGTTTCTGACAGTTTGTGCAGAAATGATTTGGTTGTGCAAACCAACAGTTTCATCAGCTGTCCAGGTGGCTGGTCTCAGACCATCCCGCAGGTAAAGAAGCCAGATGTGGAGGTCCTGGGCTGGCGTAGTTACACATGATCTGCAGTCGTGAGGCCGGTTGGACCTACTGACAAATTCTAAAAAAATAAGTTGGAGGCGGCTTATGGTAGAGAAATTAACATTACATTCTCTGGCAACAGCTCTGGTGAACATTCCTGCAGTCAACATGCCAATTGCACGCTCCCTGAAAACTTGAGACATCTGTAGCATTGTGTTGTGTGACAAAACTGCACATTTTAGAGTAGCCTTTTATTGTCCCCAGCACAAGGTGCATCTGTGTAATGATCATGCTGTTTAATCATCTTATTGATATGCCACACCTGTCAGGTGGATAGATTATCTTGGCAAAGGATAAATGCTCGTTAACAGGGACCAACATTTTACATGTTGTGTTTATATTTTTGTTCAGTGTTCTGAGTCTGACAATTATTTATTTTACAGTGTGCGGCCACCTCTTTTAATTGCATAATGTCAAATTTGGAAATCAAAATGTTCTCTCTTTTCCCCATGCATCTACCAGACAGGATGTAAGAGAAGAAAGTATTGTGTGGGTGACTTCCTACATGATGTCATAGCACACAAACTCCTGTATCCACATCTGTCTGACACATACTGTCTGTCTGTCTGCCAAGGCAGTTCTACTCTGTTTCTCAGAGAAACTCTGTGCTGGTATATTAGAGTGGTTGCTTGACAGTTTACTTTATGATGCATAACATTTTGCATTTTAGTCATTAAGCAGACGCTCTTATCCAGAGCGACTTACAGTTAGAGCATTCATCTTAAGATAGCTAGGTGGGACAACCACATATCACAGTAAGTACATTTTTCCTCATTAAAGTAGCTATGAGCAAAGTCTGAGCTAGTAAGGGTGGGGGGGGGGTAAAGTGCGAGTGTTGGTTCACGAAAGGGATTATTTTGGAAGGGGGTGCGAGGGGGGGGTGCTGTGGGATTATTTAAGATACTCTTTGAAGAGGTAGAGTTTCAGATGTTTTCGGAAGATGGCAGGGACTCTGCTGTCCTAGCTTCAGGGGGAAGCTGGTTCCACCATTGGGATGCCAGGACAGAGAAGAGCTTGGACTGCGCTGAGCAGGAGCTGCCCTCCCATAGAGGTGGGAGGGCCAAGAGACCAGAGGTGGCAGAACACCACCTTTCATATTGTGTGTGCACATTTCAAGGTAAAGACCTACTTCAATAAGGAAAATAAGAAAATAGGTGGACTGACTAAGGTGAAAATAGGTGGACTGACTAAGGTGAAAATAGGTGGACTGACTAAGGTGAAAATAGGTGGACTGACTAAGGTGAAAATAGGTGGACTGACTAAGGTTAAAATAGCTGGACTGACTAAGCATAGCATAGAGAGCAGAGCACAGAATGACCATAGATCATAAAACTCAGTGACAGTGGGGTTGGCCTATATGACATGGGTTATGTATTACAGAACATGATATGTGTATGAGTGACCATGAAGTGTGTATTAACAGTGAGCTTGCATTACATTACCCTGATGTGTGTGCTAATGACTGTACCATATATGAGACCTGTGTTAAGACTTTCTAACCCTTATATGTGCTATGCATGTACGAGTGACGATGGTTGAGTGTAAATATGTTGCAGAGGACCCGTTCAGTGGGGGTTATGTGCTAGTGACTACAATACATGAAAACTGGGTTAAGACACTGTCTATCCTTTATAGGTGGCATTCATGTATGAGTGATCATAGTTAAGTGTCAATATTTTGCAAGAGGACCCTTCCGGTGTGCTGGTGAGCAGGTACTGTACTGACCTGCCGTCTGTCCTCCGGTGCCTTGAGGAAGAGGGCGTTGATGAGTGCGATGGCATATGTCTGGATCTCCTGATTGGATCTAAAAGTTACATCAGACACAGCAACACCAGTTAGAAGCATCTGGTTCTAGGAATTGTCACATGGGCACAAAATGTTAAGTTGCCACTGGTTAAGTGTATTAGTACAGTACTCATAGTATTAGTCTGGGGTTCTACACTTCTAAGCTCAGTCATAATTACAAGGAGGCAGAGCAAGGCAAGGCTTGTCATCTACGCTCTATTGCACTGACGTTAGTCACGCCACTACATTTCTACACACTAACTCCGACTACATCCCCCACACAACTGTATGTGGGAGGCCCCAGTGCGTGTGTGTGTGCTCACACTTGCAGGTGTCCGATGAGCTGTCCAATGGTGATCTCCTGCGCCACCCGGTGGTAGAGGCTGTGGCTGTTGAGGACCATGCTTTCCAGGATGGCCAGTGAGCGCTGCAGGATGGACACGTCCACCATTGGCTGGTTCACGTAGCCCGCAATCTGACCAGACAAGGGAGGGAAATACTATTTTAAAATGGACACCTAAATCTAGGGTCTTGTTGATTACACCTAGGTTTATGAGGTAGATTTGAAAGCTGATTTACTAAGGTTTGAGATTAGGACTTGAAATGTATGTCTGTCAAATGACATACAGTTGGCAGTTGGATCCATATGATCCAAAAACGATCCAAACGATCCATAGCTATAGCCCATAGAAAGACACATACAGTTGAAGTCGGATGTTTACATACACTTAGGTTGGAGTTATTAAAACTCGTTTTTCAACCACTCCACAAACTTCTTGTTAACAAACTATAGTTTTGGCAAGTCGGTTAGGACATTACTTTGTGCATGACACAAGTAATTTATAAAACAATTGTTTACAGACAGATTATTTCACTTATAATTCACTGTATCACAATTCCAGTGGGTCAGATGTTTACATACACCAAGTTGACTGTGCCTTTAAACTATTAAATTATGTCATGGCTTTAGAAGCTTCTGGATAGGCTAACTGACATAATTTGAGTCAATTGGATGTGTACCTGTGGATGTATTTGAAGGACTACCTTCAAACTCAGTGCCTCTTTGCTTGACATCATGGGAAAATCAAAATAAATCAGCCAAGACCTCAGAAAAATTGGTAGACCTCCACAAGTCTGGTTCATCCTTGGGAGCAATTTCCAAACGCCTGAAGGTACCGCGTTCATCTGTACAAACAATAGTACGCAAGTATAAACCCCATGGGACCAAGCAGCCGTCATACCGCTCAGGAAGGAGACGCGTTCTGTGTCCTAGAGATGAACGTACTTTGGTGCGAAAAGTGCAAATCAATCCCAGAACAACAGCAAAGGACCTTGTGAAGATGCTGGAGGAAACAGGTACAAAAGTATCTATATCCACAGTAAAACTAGTCCTATATCGACATAACCTGAAAGGCCGCTCAGCAAGGAAGAAGCCACTGCTCCAAAACCACCATAAAAAAGCCAGACTACGGTTTGCAACTGCACATGGGGACAAAGATCGTACTTTTTGGAGAAATGTCCTCTGATCTGATGAAACAAAAATAGGTCATAATGACCATCGTTATGTTTGGAGGAAAAAGGGGGATGCTTGCAAGCCGAAGAACACCATCCCAACCGTGAAGAACGGGGGTGTCAGCATCATGCTGTGGGGGTGCTTTGCTGCAGGAGGGACTGGTGCACTTCACAAAATAGATGGCATCATGAGGAAGGAAAATTATGTGGATATATTGAAGCAACATCTCAAGACATCAGTCAGGAAGTTAAAGCTTGGTCGCAAATGGGTCTTCCAAATGGACAATGACCCCAAGCATACTTGCAAAGTTGTGGCAAAATGGCTGAAAAAGCGTGTGTGAGCAAGGAGGCCTACAAACCTGACTCAGTTACACCAGCTCTGTCTGGAGGAATGGGCCAAAATTCACCCAACTTATTGTGGGAAGCTTGTGGAAGGCTACCCGAAACGTTTGACCCAAGAAAAACAATTTAAAGGCAATGCTACCAAATAATAATTGACTGTATGTAAACTTCTGACCCACTGGGAATGTGATGAAATAAATAAAAGCTGAAATAAATAATTCTCTACTATTATTCTGACTTTTCACATTCTTAAAATAAAGTGGTGATCCTAACTGACCTAAGACAGGGAATTTTTACTAGGATTAAATGTCAGGAATTGTGAAAAACTGAGTTTAATTATATTTGGCTAAGGTGTATGTAAACTTCCGACTTCAACTGTATGACTTGTTTTCCTTGTATAGTGCTTGTTGTTGTGCAGCACGTCAGAGGACTTCATCAGGGAGAAAACTATCCACAGAAGATGCAGCTGAAAGAGCTCCAAATAACATGGGGTGTTGCTAGGTAACAGCAACCCACTCAGTTCTGGCAGCCAATGAGGGGTTGAAGGTCAAGTAATTAAAGAAAAGAGAGAAAAAAAACTAAGGGGAGGACTTCGAGATAGGCCTCAAACTACTGAAACTACCCAAACTAATATACAGACGAAAATTCACATATAAGTTTCATCAAAATAATCAAGAAATACATTACGTATTTTTTCCATTGCAGACAGTGTAGGAATCTGACATATGGGCTTCCTTATATGCCACGTTTTATGAAGAGTGGTGTGTTTTGTGGAAGTAAAGAGGCGAGTTCTAACCTGTTTGATGAAGGACAGAGAGATGAGGTCCCAGGACACGATGCCATGGTCCATCAGCTCCAGGAAGGCTGTGAGAGTGAAGGCCAGCATCTCCCCAAAGCTGAGGAGGAGAGCGCAGACTAGAGTCAGAGGACAACACTCTATACATACACTGAGTAAACAAATAGGGCCATATTCACAAACAAAGCCATAACACAACTCTCCCTATGCACCACCAACAACTACAGCCACAAACAAACAGCATGCTATCAGTATGGGGCAATCAGTGTTAGCCCACAGTAACCATCTCCGGAGAGGCTTCTAGTAGCCAGTAGAAGTACCTTTAGACCAAGGGTCTCAATCTAATTTTGCCCTGGGGGCACATAAAAAATTGACTTGTGGGCCGACTCTGGCCCGTGGGACGCCAGTTTGAGACCCCTGCTTTAGACAAATGCACATTAATGTCTATGGCTGTGGCGTGTAGCCTACAATAGACCCATGGTTTGTCTGTTTGTATGAGACTCACTGGGTGCCACTCTCCACCAGGCGCGCCAGGGTCCCAATGCCCTCCATGTTGATGAACTCGGTGGCGAAGGTGGGGTCAGCTGACAGCTTGGCCAGCTCCTTCAGGGCCTCCAGGCGGGCGTCTATGCCGTGGGACTGGATCCTGTCCAGGAGCTGCCGCGCTGCACGGGCCTAATTTTTTTTTGGGGGGGGGGGGGGGGGGGGGGGCAATCAGGCACGGCAATGGTGGCCATTATTGACTGTTTTTACCTGCTTTACCTCAATGACTACATTAGCTTGATGCAGGCAGCAACTGTTGCTGAGACGTCTATAACTTAGCAATAGGGTTTGTCTAATGCAGCTACCATTATTGTGCACTGCAATGCCGTCATTATATAGAGTTAATAAAATTCAGTGGGGGAAAAAAGTATTTAGTCAGCCACCAATTGTGCATGTTCTCCCACTTAAAAAGATGAGAGAGGCCTGTCATTTTCATCATAGGTACACGTCAACTATGACAGACAAAATGAGAAAAAAAATTCCAGAAAATCACATTGTAGGATTTTTAATGAATTTATTTGCAAATTATGGTGGAAAATAAGTATTTGATCAATAACAAAAGTTTCTCTATACTTTGTTATATACCCTTTGTTGGCAATGACACAGGTCAAACGTTTTCTGTAAGTCATCACAAGGTTTTCACACACTGTTGCTGGTATTTTGGCCCATTACTCCATGCAGATCTCCTCTAGAGCAGTGATGTTTTGGGGCTGTCGCTGGGCAACACAGACTTTCAACTCCCTCCAAAGATTTTCTATGGGGTTGAGATCTGGAGACTGGCTAGGCCACTCCAGGACCTTGAAATGCTTCTTACGAAGCCACTCCTTCGTTGCCCGGGCGGTGTGTTTGGGATCATTGTCATGCTGAAAGACCCAGCCACATTTCATCTTCAATGCCCTTGCTGATGGAAGGAGGTTTTCACTCAAAATCTCACGATACATGGCCCCATTCATTCTTTCCTTTACACAGATCAGTCGTCCTGGTCCCTTTGCAGAAAAACAGCCCCAAAGCATGATGTTTCAACCCCCATGCTTCACAGTAGGTATGGTGTTCTTTGGATGCAACTCAGCATTCTTTGTCCTCCAAACACGACGAGTTGAGTTTTTACCAAAACGTTATATTTTGGTTTCATCTGACCATATGACATTCTCCCAATCCTCTTCTGGATCATCCAAATGCACTCTAGCAAACTTCAGACGGGCCTGGACATGTACTGGCTTAAGCAGGGGGACACGTCTGGCACTGTAGGATTTGAGTCCCTGGCGGCGTAGTGTGTTACTGATGGTAGGCTTTGTTACTTTGGTCCCAGCTCTCTGCAGGTCATTCACTAGGTCCCCCTGTGTGGTTCTGGGATTTTTGCTCACCGTTCTTGTGATCATTTTGACCCCACGGGGTGAGATCTTGCGTGGAGCCCCAGATCGAGGGAGATTATCAGTGGTCTTGTATGTCTTCCATTTCCTAATAATTGCTCCCACAGTTGATTTCTTCAAACCAAGCTGCTTACCTATTGCAGATTCAGTCTTCCCAGCCTGGTGCAGGTCTACAATTTTGTTTCTGGTGTCCTTTGACAGCTCTTTGGTCTTGGCCATAGTGGAGTTTGGATTGTGACTGTTTGAGGTTGTGGACAGGTGTCTTTTATACTGATAACAAGTTCAAACAGGTGCCATTAATACAGGTAACGAGTGGAGGACAGAGGAGCCTCTTAAAGAAGAAGTTACAGGTCTGTGAGAGCCAGAAATCTTGCTTGTTTGTAGGTGACCAAATACTTATTTTCCACCATAATTTGCAAATAAATTCATTAAAAATCCTACAATGTGATTTTCTGGAAAAAAAATTCTCATTTTGTCTGTCATAGTTGACGTGTACCTATGATGAAAATTACAGGCCTCTCTCATCTTTTTAAGTGGGAGAACTTGCACAATTGGTGGCTGACTAAATACTTTTTTCCCCCACTGTATACCTAAGAAATACTGGTAATTTATATGAAAAAAAAGAGAAAAGAACTGCATGTACAAGAAGAGAAAGTGTCTCACAGGAGATATGGCTAATCGAAGGATGGTTCCATTCTTGATTTCACTACGGCTCTGGAAAGAAATAAAATGAAATTGTGAACATTGCTACTACCACAGCACTTCTCTAGAGTCATTGGTAATATGCCATAGTAACAGTAACATACTAAGGAACCATGTAGTGTATTACAGTGAAGAATTGTAAACAGCACTTTATATATGCCAAGGTGCTGAGGCTCACCTGCTCAGTAATGTAGAGCTGAGGACCGTCAGCATAACGCAGGGCAAACTGCTCCGAGCCAGACAGAGACCAGCTGTGGACACACACACATGCACATGCACAAAATCTATTTAAAAGTAGGTGACTGAATTCACCAATATTCCACTCAATACCGAGTGCACTGACCTCCCTAAACATGAGGCAGACAGAAGCTAAACCCACACATTTCTCAATAAGACCTACTACTATAATGCTGTGCGTTTGTTTTTCCAACCTACAGAAAATACCATGTGCATAAGGTTTACAAAAGTCATTATCGGAGCCTGCAGCATTTCTATTTGCCAGAAGATCAGATGGAGAAGACTGCACAAGGAGATATTCAGTGGGTGTTAAGTGTTAGAAAACAAATGTAATGCATTCAGATGTGAGAGAGGGAGACAGCGAGGGAGTGGGAGGAAGCATTGGAGAGAGAGGAGAAGTAGGAAGTTAGAAAAAGTCTCAGTATTCATGATGGACAGACAAGGTGGATCAGGAGACAAAGGAAATGGAAAGACAATGAGAGGAGGCACTCGGGGAGAACGAGTCAGAAAGAGAAATATGAACATTCAGACAAACGGGGACAAAAAGTGAAAAAGAGAGAGAAATCAAAATGTTTATGAAAGCATAAAAACACGTCTGGCCCCTATCTGTGAGCCACTACACCTATTATTTTTAGTGTAAGAACGCCTTTTAGAAACGGACATGAGAGACAGAGAGGTGGATGGGACAGAGAGAGGGAGGGAGAATGGATGAATATAACTAACTCCAATAGTCAGATATCAGCTTAGCCAAACGAATTTAACCCCTAAGCACACTTACTTAGACTGTGTCTGGCCTAAGTGCAGATTAAGGTCACCTTGGATGCGTCCCAAATGGCACCCTATTCCCTAGATATTTAGGGAATAGGGTGCCATTTGGGACGTAGTCCTTGTGTGGCATACTTTGGATTTAGTGAGTGAAGCCTGAGTATTGGCTAGAGGTTGTGTCTGTTTATTGGCAGTGGTACAGTGGGGAAAAAAAGTATTTAGTCAGCCACCAATTGTGCAAGTTCTCCCACTTAAAAAGATGAGAGAGGCCTGTACTTTTCATCATAGGTACACGTCAACTATGACAGACAAAATATTTTTTTTTCCAGAAAATCACATTGTAGGATTTTTAATGAATTTATTTGCAAATTATGGTGGAAAATAAGTATTTGGTCAATAACAAAAGTTTCTCAATACTTTGTTATATACACTTTGTTGGCAATGACACAGGTCAAACGTTTTCTGTAAGTCTAAAGTTTTCACACACTGTTGCTGGTATTTTGGCCCATTACTCCATGCAGATCTCCTCTAGAGCAGTGATGTTTTGGGGCTGTCGCTGGGCAACACGGACTTTCAACTCACTCCAAAGATTTTCTATGGGGTTGAGATCTGGAGACTGGCTAGGCCACTCCAGGACCTTGAAATGCTTCTTACGAAGCCACTCCTTCGTTGCCCGGGCGGTGTGTTTGGGATCATTGTCATGCTGAAAGACCCAGCCACGTTTCATCTTCAATGCCCTTGCTGATGGAAGGAGGTTTTCACTCAAAATCTCTTCTGGATCATCCAAATGCACTCTAGCAAACTTCAGATGGGCCTGGACATGTACTGGCATAAGCAGGGGGACACATCTGGCACTGCAGGATTTGAGTCCCTGGCGGCGTAGTGTGTTACTGATGGTAGGCTTTGTTATTTTGGTCCCAGCTCTCTGCAGGTCATTCACTAGGTCCCCCCGTGTGGTTCTGGGATTTTTGCTCACCGTTCTTTTGATCATTTTGACCCCACGGGGTGAGATCTTGCGTGGAGCCCCAGATCGAGGGAGATTATCAGTGGTCTTGTATGTCTTCCATTTCCTAATAATTGCTCCCACAGTTGATTTCTTCAAACCAAGCTGCTTACCTATTGCAGATTCAGTCTCCCCAGCCTGGTGCAGGTCTACAATTTTGTTTCTGGTGTCCTTTGACAGCTCTTTGGTCTTGGCCATAGTGGAGTTTGGAGTGTGACTGTTTGAGGTTGTGGACAGGTGTCTTTTATACTGATAACAAGTTCAAACAGGTGCCATTAATACAGGTAACGAGTGGAGGACAGAGGAGCCTCTTAAAGAAGAAGTTACAGGTCTGTGAGAGCCAGAAATCTTGCTTGTTTGTAGGTGACCAAATACTTATTTTCCACCATAATTTGTAAATAAATTCATTAAAAATCCTACAATGTGATTTTCTGGAAAAAAAATCTAATTTTGTCTGTCAAAGTTGACGTGTACCTATGATGAAAATTACAGGCCTCTCTAATCTTTTTAAGTGGGAGAACTTGCACAATTGGTGGCTGACTAAATACTTTTTTTCCCCACTGTATGTGAGTAAGCTCTGAAAGGGTGGAGTACCAGAGCATTTATGTGTCACTGGGGATTACGCTGAAATGCCTGGTATTTTATTGAATAAATATCTGCACCTAATGCAAAATCATTCTGAACTTGTACAATTACGTAGCATAGTGAATCAGTATAGCGTCACTAGAATCAATTGGTATGATGGAGCAAGAATGTAGAAGGCATTCAAATGGGATTTGTTATTGTGTGCAGAACCTTCAGCAGTATGCCAATAGGTAGTCAGTTACTCCAAACTGTTCAATTTCTACACAGGATAATATATAATATATATACAGTGTCTTCAGAAAGTAGTCACACCCTTTGACTTTTTCCACAGTTTGTTGTGTTACAGCCTGAATTTAAAATGGATTAAAATGAGATTTTGTGTCACTGGCCTAAAACTGAGGATGGATCTACAACATTGTAGTTACTCCACAATACTAACCTAAATGACAGAGTGAAAATGAGGAAGCCTGTACAGAATAAGAAATGGCTAATAAATGTCCTGTCACTTTATGTCCTGAATACAAAGCGTTATGTTTGGGGCAAATCCAACACAACACATCACTGAGTACCACTCTTCATATTTTCAAGCAGGGTGGTGGCTGCATCATGTTAGGTTGTATGCTTGTCATCGGCAAGGACTAGGGAGTTTTTATGATAAGAAACGGAATAGAGCTAAGCACAGGCAAAATCCTAGAGGAAAACCTGGTTCAGTCTGCTTTCCAACAGACACTGGGAGACAAATTAACCTTCAAGCAGGACAATAACCTAATACACAAGGCCAAATATACACTGGAATTACCAAGACAACATTCCATGTTCATGAGTGGCCTATTTACAGTTTTGACTTAAATTAGCTTTAAAATCTATGGACTTGAAAATGGCTGTCTAGCAATGATCAACAACCAACTTTACAGAGCTTGAAGAATTTTTGTAAGAATATCTGCAAATATTGTACAATCCAGGTATGCAAAACTCTTAGAGACTTATCCAGAAAGACTCACAGCTGTAATCGCTGCCAAAGGTGATTCTAACATGTATTTACTCAGGTGTGTGAATACTTATGTAAATGAGACATTTCTGTATTTCATTTTCAAACAATTTGAAAACATTTTCTAAAACCCTGTTTTCACTTTGTCATTCTGGGCTATTGTGTACAGATGGATTCAGGCTGTAACAACTACATGTGGAATAAGTCAAGGGGTATGAATACTTTCTGAAGGCACTGTTTGTCGTTGGCTACAGCTAGAAATGCTGCAGGTGTCATTTGGTTAGCTAGCAAGAAATGTGAATCGCTTTGTTAGCTAGCTGTGGATAACGACTGTTATCCACAGTTAGCATACTATATCTCTTAGTTGTCAATCAAATGTATTTGGCATCGATCAAATGGGCGGGCAGGCCAGTTCCCATTCAGTTGTCAAAACATGGGTTGGGACAAGCATGCATTGGCAGCAAACTGCAGAAGGACGAGCAGGATATTATTCCCCATCGTTTATCGGCCAACTAGCTGAAAACGTTTGAGAGGGTTTATCTAAGGTTCCCTCGTTAGATTTTAGCTCATCTCGCTCTGGCTAGCGTTAGTTGTTGATCTTGTTGTTGTTGATGAGCATAGGCAACTGAGGGAGAGATAGCCTACCTTTTCATGGTTGTTTGATCAATAGGTTTGTGAAGTTCCCAAATGTAAGAGGACTCCCGTGGTATTTACATATTTGCAGAAATCCATTCAGGTGTATTTTGTGGCTTTTGGCGAATATTTTCTAATGATCTAAAGTCACGCTGTTGCTACTGCCTGTAAACACACAGTCCAGTTCAAAGTGAATGATGGCAGGCCCGTATGGCAAATGGCTTATTTGCATATAGGCCTACTGTGGCTCTGATTGGCTATGTCGCACCGGTCTGCATAGACACCGGTATTGGACAGGACAGATGTTTTTATTCGGTTTTATTACTGCAGTGTATTAATTGTCCAAACACAAGGCCGCTTTCCCACTCTATATTGCTATAGAATTTTCACAAATGCCTTACTATACGTCATTCCCAAACATTCTATGAATTGATGACATGAAAATGACCATATCTAAGTGCTCGCTATCTAAGTGTGAAAAAAAGGTGTCATATTCTTCCTGGGGATATGAACAGATTTTAATAAGATTTCATTTTGCTAAAATGCTGTCAGTTCCACTTTAATGATATAAAGCAAAATTATATAATACGAATTCTGGCATGAAGAACATGTGTGATCCAGTCCATGTGTAATGGCTCATACTAATGTTTCTCTGTGTGTTCTTATTATGGACCTGCTATACATCTGGCTACCACTGAGTCCGTCTAGCTAGCACTAGTCTTACGTAAGTGAACGCAGGGTGTGTGTGTTCATATCACACACATATATAAATCAGTCATAAACATTGTGCCGCCATTAGCTCCAGCGAGAGCAGAAACAGCTGGGTGTGGAGCTGGTGCTTACCCATCACACACCTCCCGTATGATAGATGACAGGGGCTTCTTCTGCAAAACACACAACAGACAGACAGACAAAAAAACTGTCAAACTCTGCAAAGCCACTGCAATCACAGGATAGTTGCTGATTGGTCAGAAAATACCCTTTTATAACTTTAACAATGGTTCTCACTCCTTGCTTTGCTTGGCTTTCATCAGAGGAAAATAAACGTTGATGGATTTGTTGGTGGGTAGGCGCCATTGAAATTGTGTTGGACAAAATCAAATCCACTGTATTGTGTTGCAGCAACATACAGAGAAATAAGATATGTGCTAGAGCTAGACTGACCAACAAAATCTCAGTGATGTAGTTTATGCTTGTCTGAGAAGAAAAAACATACTGTAGCTGTCTTTTCCCTTCAATTATTTAATGTGGAGTCTCTTGAGTTTAAAGTAGCTGGCACAGGGAAAACAGACTTCAATAAAAAGTTTGGTTGAAGGGCCTCCCGAGTGGCGCAGCGGTCTAAGGCTCTGCATCGCAGTGCTAGAGACGTCACTCCAGTCCCTGGTTCGATCCCGGGCTGTATCACAACCGGCCGTGACCGGGAGTCCCATAGGGCGGCCCAGTGTCGTCCGGGTTAGGGGAGGGTTTGGCCGGGGGGGGGGCTTTACTTGGCTCATCGCGCTCTAGCAACTCCTTGTGGCGGGCCGGGTGCCTGCAGGCTGACCTCGATCGTCAGTTGAACAGTGTTTCCTCTGACACATTGGTGCGGCTGGCTTCCGGGTTAAGCGGGCAGGTGTTAAGTGCGGTTCGGCAGGTCATGTTTTGGAGGACGCATGACTCGACCTTCGCCTCCGCCGCCCGTTGGGGAGTTGCAGCGATGAGACAAGATCAAAATTGGGGAGAAAATGGGGTTAAACAAATATACAAATGAAATTGGGTTGAGTAGACAGAGTGGAGGATTGATGCTGTTAAGGACAAGACAGACCAACAGAAACATCAGCATTGCACAGCGGCTGGCCGTCCTATCGCCTCTGACCACAGAGGCTGTCATTTTCTGTTCATTTCTCTACGATTCTACATGTTGAATCGCCAATGTTCGTCGATACCCAGCAGGCAATCTACAGCGCACAACCGATGTTCGTGTTGGTCTGTCTTGTCCTTGAGTGATGTTTTTAGACTGGACACTGACCTGGTCAATCTCGATGAGCTGGGCGTTGGCACCGGGCCACTCGATGGCCACCTTGACAATGTCAGAGGGGGGTGGCATGGCTGCTGTCCTCTCACACACCACTGGAGGACAGACATCACAGAGAAGAAGAAACAGCACCTTATTACTGTTACATTATTAGATATATGGATCCCACTTCTGCCACCATGACCACGTTATGGTAGCTTAGTGGTTAAGAGCGTTGTGCCAGTAACCGAAAGGTCGCTGGTTCTAATCCCCGAGCCGACTAGGTGAAAAATCTGTCGATGTGCCCTTGAGCAAGGCACTTAACCCTAATTGCTCCTGTAAGTCGCTCTGGATAAGAGCGTCTGCTAAATAAAAAAATTAAAAAACATGTTGGCATTAATGTTTGACAGCAATAGTTAAATCACTCATTCTGTGGGCCCACATGTGGCTTAAAACACCATGAAACCTGTCGCAAAGTATTGTTCTAGAACGGCCTGTTCCTTACTATTGGCACAAGGTCAGACGAGTACCCTTCTCTTCATTGCCAAACAACAGTATCCATTCAATTTGGTCTCATTACAGTCCAGTTTGCCCTAGCCCATCTTAGGTATAGCCTTCCCCACATGACAATACAAGGCTTTTATGAGAGTGTGTTAGGGTAGAAAGATGGGACCAGGACCGCTTTTACGGCTGTAGTGGCTTGCGGCAGCGTCTATCAGTGCAATTAAATCCTCATATTTAATACCCGAGGTGCTTGTAGCTACACACTTAGACCACACTGCCCGAGTGGCGCAGTGGTCTAAGGCGCTGCATCGCAGTGCTAGCTGTGCCACTAGAGGTCCTGGTTCGAATCCAGGCTCTGTCGTAGCCGGCCGCGACCGGGAGACCCATGGGGCGGCGCACAATTGGCCCAGCGTCGTCCAGGGTAGGGGAGGGAATGGCTGGCAGGGATGTAGCTCAGTTGGTAGAGCATGGCGTTTGCAACGCCAGGGTTGTGGGTTTGATTCCCAAGGGGGGCCAGTATGAAAATAAATTAACTGTAAGTCGCTCTGGATAAGAGCGTCTGCTAAATGACTAAAATGTAAAAAATGTAAAATGTATGCCCATTAGCTAAATCCACTTAAAATAGGAATTTTAACAGCCTGACGGATGATGGTCTGGGCCATCGATGGGGAGACGAGGGCTTTTATGTGGACGTCCTCTAAATATCAGTGGCCAGGGGTTTTCAACATCAAAGCCCTAGACCACCAAGTGGAAAACAGGCTGATACTATGCAGCCTGAACTAAACTTCAGCTCTGTGTCACTGACAGAAATAGTCTAGCACTAAAACCAGATGACCATTTGACAAAGAAAAACATCCCATGTCTTGCTGTTTAAATACACATTGTTTTGTCTGTCTGTGTTTACTCCACTATATGGTCACATTCTCTGTTGTTGCCGACAGAAACATAGAAACATTTTCATTCATCAACATTGTATTCAGACGCCTACAGAACCTTTCGAGATTCTTTCTGCGCATTTCTGTCCAGCAAATGTGTATGCAGGCACACACACGCACGATCACACGCACAAGCACTGCATCTGGGGTAGTTAGAAACAGTAGGTTTCACATATCCACATCGCTGGTAGGCTCAGTCCTTCCAGTCAGGAGCCCTAGCACCTGGTGGGCTGGGTTGGTTTACCACAGCTCCCTGATCTACAGCAGATAAAACAGCACCACAGCTCCCTGATCTACAGCAGATAAAACAGCACCACAGCTCCCTGATCTATTGCAGATAAAACAGCACCACAGCTCCCTGATCTATTGCAGATAAAACAGCACCACAGCTCCCTGATCTACTACAGATACAACAGCACCACCGCTCCCTGATCTACTGCAGATAAAACAGCACCACAGCTCCCTGATCTATCGCAGATACAACAGCACCACAGCTCTCCAATCTACTGCAGATACAACAGCACCACAGTTCCCTGATCTACTGCAGATACAACAGCACCCCGATCTACTGCAGATACAACAGCACCGCAGCTCCCTGATCTACTGCAGATACAACAGCTCCCTGATCTACTGCAGATACAACAGCTCCCTGATCTACTGCAGATAAAACAGCACCACAGCTCCCTGGTCTACTGCAGATACAACAGCACCACAGCTCCCTGATCTACTGCAGATACAACAGCTCCCTGATCTACTGCAGATACAACAGCACCACAGCTCCCTGATCTACTGCAGATACAACAGCACCACAGCTCCCTGATCCACTGCAGATACAACAGCACCACAGCTCCCTGGTCTACTGCAGATACAACAGCACCACAGCTCCCTGATCTACTGCAGATACAACAGCTCCCTGATCTACTGCAGATACAACAGCACCACAGCTCCCTGATCTACTGCAGATACAACAGCACCACAGCTCCCTGATCTACTGCAGATACAACAGCACCACAGCTCCCTGATCTACTGCAGATACAACAGCACCACAGCTCCCTGATCTACTGCAGATACAACAGCACCACAGCTCCCTGATCTACTGCAGATACAACAGCTCCCTGATCTACTGCAGATACAACAGCTCCCTGATCTACTGCAGATACAACAGCTCCCTGATCTACTGCAGATACAACAGCTCCCTGATCTACTGCAGATACAACAGCTCCCTGATCTACTGCAGATACAACAGCACCACAGCTCCCCGATCTACTGCAGATACAACAGCACCCCGATCTACTGCAGATACAACAGCACCCCGATCTACTGCAGATACAACAGCCCCACAATATACTGCAGATACAACAGCACCACAGAGCTCAGGTTTACCCCTGCTAGCCTCCCTATTCTAAATCCACAGGGATTCTTTGCTCTGCGCTTGGCTGTCGTCAGGCAGTGCGATGACAGATGAGTGTGCATCAAAGGAGTAGAAATCAGTTCCAACAGAGGGCATTTTACTGGGGAACCACACAACGCATAATCAAGCAGTGCTTTTCACTGCACGGTACAGATGTCGGCACTCTCTGAACCAACACTTTTTGTTGAGTCTTCGGCGGTGGGAGGAGAGGAGGTTGTTAAGGGGGCTTTTTTGGGTTCCAAAAACTGGTTTGTTTTGGGAAATGTCTGTACACTGTCTTTTGCCAAACGCACAATGCCTGGAAGACATCCAAAGACATCAGTGAACAACCCTTCTCCCAGAATTCCCTCTGTCTCCGGGGGCCCCACTCTGGCTGGGAAGGCAGTTGGTGGGTTGACATGGCCGTGGTTAAAAGTGTCCCTGTTTGTTTGCCTTGGTTCTCTTGCTGTTTTCTATAGACAGTTTTCAAGAGGGATATTTTCAAAGCAGACACAATATCAGAGTATTTCCAGGTCCAGTGAACTAATAAATTCAAGCACCAGTTTTATTATCGATTGATCATACTGAAAATATATTGTACTGCAAAGACAGTTCAATTCATAAATCATAATCTGTGATTATTATTCTGCAGTAGTTGCCTAATGATCAACTGAAGTGGTCTGTGCAACACTTGTTTACTTTCTTGAGGAAAATGTAATTCCATTCGTAACACCTCTAATAACAAGCTGGGTCCATTCAATATCGCCTTTGAATAAAGTATTACCTCTGCTCTCATATCTTGCAATAATATCCATACATGAGGAGACTCTCCTGGTTATGCAACTCAAGGGGATAGGAGAATTTTGAGAAATGAGAACAAGTCAAACCACAATCAGTGATGAGACTTGCCTTGGAATGAAGAATGGGGCATTGTGCAACAAAGCCACTCCTAAACAGGCTGTGAAAAAGCTGCCGGAAAATACTGAGAATTGAGTCCAAGACTGGCAAGCGCAGGATAGCTTATCAACAGTGTAGATTCAGAGACTGACTCTACTACAGACCACCACATCATCCACAAAGGAAAGACCAGTCACAAAAACAGACTTGTAAAGTTTTAACTACACTGTTATACACAAAAAGCATATGCTAGTAGGCTATGCTCCACTGCTGCATAAAATTACACAAACGTTTTATAAGAACACATCAAAAGTGTTGGGGATTGTTTGAGTGTTTAATTCTTTAAAAAGTAATTTAAATATATTTTTCTTTCCACGCTGTCAGTGCATTTGTGGCCAAACATCAACAACAAACAGAAGCCGGAAGAAACATAGCACACGTAATTAGGGCTGGGATGACACCAGTATCGCAAAAATATATATATATGGCAAAATTGAAAACACGATGCAGACCAAACTCTTTGGTCCTTTCAAAATCAGCTGTAGGCCTATGTAAAATATTGTGTGCTATAGCTTGCATAATAAATAAATGTGACTCTGGATGACAACATAATGATGTTTGTTCCCAACATTAGGACTGTTTTCCTAAAGAAGTTAAATCCACTTTGTGTTTTGTTTCCTTGACACGATACTAATGAGTATGGTGATACTGGTATATTCCCGGCCCTACATGTAATGGCTAAATTAAAAGGTAGACTCAGCGAAATGACGTTGACACAAGCAGCAGCGCAGATATTGAGATGAGTGAGATGCAAGACTTCGCTCTCACACAGTCACACACAGTATCTGTGCATGTGCCAGGGCACCAAAACAACAGAGAAGTTGAGCCTCACACTTTAACGGTTTTAGTTATTGCGGAAATCGACCCACTATGCTGTTTACTTTCTGCCTCTACGTAATATCGCTGAGTCTACCTTTAACCTTGCTAGACAGGAATTCCTGCCATGATATATCAACTGGGCCACAATGCTGCCATTGTCTGGGGGTATAAATGAGAGAAGTCCATTCCGTCTGAAATCGTACCCTATTCCCTATGTAGTGCACTACTTTTAACCAGGGCCTATAGGGCACTGGTCAAAAGTAGTGCACTATATAGGGAATAAGGTGTCATTTGGGACACAGTCGTCCATTCCCAGTCCCAAAGCCACTGACCACAGCCTCCACAGAGGAACCTCCATGATGACAGTTTGAACAGCAGCACCAGTGGAGTCCTGTACAAGTGCTACTGCTGCTGTCAGCTCCACTTTGTGAACAGACTTTTGATACCATGAACTGGCAAGAACGGTGTTCATTTTCTCAGTTCACTGACTAGCTCTACAAAAATCATTACATGAGGGTCTTTCAAATTCTTCAATCAAATGCAGCAAACGTCAGACCGCTAGATCAGAATTGAACTTGAAATGAGGGAAAGAATTAGGAGCCAAATCAATATTCTAATGGTGAACAATAATGGCATGAAACACAAGTCCAGCATAGTGAGGACACCGTCTGAATATCAACTGTGAATTCCATTAGTTGACAGAGGGCCAAGTGCTTACGATCACAATGGTGGGAAAACCCACTAAGAAACCAGAGTCCATGAAGGACAGGGCTAAGAGGTTGTAAGAGACAGTGTGTGTGTGTCTAGGTAGAGAGGGGGGGGGAATCTGACAGTCAGTACAAGTCAGGACCTTTATGCCTGGGCAATTACGGAGGGAATTGAAAACAGATGACAAGTAAGCCTGAGAGAGAGCCATTCTTAATTTAGCAGGCTTCTCCCTCTCCCCATAACAAAGACTATGCAGTCTCAGGCTCAGCAGCCATCTTGTTCAACATGAATTCAAAACAAAAAACCCACTGCTGTTCCTTCCTAGCACAACTTTCCCACACACATTTGAAGAGCAGACTCAGCCGGGGCTCTTTTTAATGCTAAAAGGCATATCTCTCAACTCTCCGTTGCTAATCCCTTAAAACCATTAGATGGGTACATTGTTTCTGTTTCCTCCTCTGATCCTGGGTCTTATCTTCACGAGATATGGCGACCGGACCTCACCTGTTGGAGGAGCGTTGAGTGGGCACCTCACTCGCTCTCTGTCTCACAGTTCAGAACATGGCATCAGTTCCCCTGCAAAGTCAAACAGGCAAATAACTGTCAGAGGAACTGTAGTACAGTCAAATATTCACCCTCTGTCTGAGGTTTATGTCGAGCACTCCTGTAAAATGTATTCTTTGAGAAGTTCCCTTCAGTCTTTTCTTGATGTTATTAACCAATCAAATACTGACAACCTGCTTTCATGCAGACATTTCATCTAAAACTGCTTCAGTTACATATCAGATTGAAACCAATCTTGGAGAACGCTTTCAACTGATATTGTTTGAGTGTTTTGAATTTCTTATTTTATAGACAGGGAGAGATTCTGTCTTGCATTTCATATTGGAAAAACTGCAAGCCAAAATAAGAATTTCCAATGGCATCCTGGCTGAAAATAAGGGACAGTACTGCTGGTGATGCTGCTTTGGAGCTCAGCTACTCTAGCAACCACTGACCTACCTAATCTGGGAAAGGTAAGTGAGACTCCAAATAACTGATCCTAAAGACCCCATTGCCTGCCTACCTACCACTGCAATGCCCCTGAGTGACAATGGTACAGTAACATCTTATGAGTTCATCCTTTGTTTTCAGGACACAATCACATGCATGATCCTGGCTCCTGACATTATATTGTGACAGGTAGGTAGGTACCTAATCTGATAGGCTACAGAGTGACACAAAATGTCTCCAGCTCGCGGGAGGACAGATACTGAACCTTCTGTAGAATGATGGGGACAGAATCTCCCTCACACAGATGTCAAGGCAGCTTGATACATTTGTAACAATGTTATCAATTGCTCTTCACCACAACTGTAGCAGCAACATTATTACTCAAGACGTACTGAGCTGCAGCGAGGATGCATAGTGACAGCATTGGCTGTAACTTGCTGATTAATTGGATTGAGCTGGCTTTAATAAGGCATTCCTGCTGTCAACGCTGTATTTTTAGAAACCATGGCCAGCATGGTCAATTGTGAAATAGATATTAGTACCCATTTTATAAACCATGATAACATCACATGTAGTGAGCATTCGTAATTAGCTAGCTACGAAGGCAGTGGGCTGCAAATGAACCGCATCGCGCAAGCCATGTAATTCGTTACTAATTTGGGGCGAAACAAAGCTAGCCTGAATTAAATTGTAGTCAGTAGTCAATTTAATACATTGAATTTAAGGGCATTCATATTTCCAAACTGAAATCCCCAGCAATTGAATTACATGGAAAATGTATAAAATGTACAGAACGTATTCGTCTCAAGAGGGAATCACCACACTGAAAAAAGCATTCACGCGATATTCCTGTCGGCGAGCGATTTCTTCCTACGCAAACATCTATCTTTCAGCAGGCTATTGCCGATGGGCTTTTTGGTTTGCAGGCGCGCGAAATAGTAGTTACAATTGAACGACAAATTGATCATTTATCCTAATTTTGTATTTACTGATAGTAAATCGTTCGTGTAACGGTATTTACTTACCCCATGGCTTGGACCTGATCGCCGCTGTTTGATACTTCTACCAATGGAGCATCTGTGGTAAGATGATACATCACCACGCCTCATAGGCGGGACATAAGGTCTGTGTCCATGGCGCTGCACATGACACTCGTCTTTCACACAAGTTAAAAACACTTCGATTTTAAATCAGTGCATGTGCAGCGCAATGCAATACATTTAAACATTTAATACAAATCGTAATGTGATTAAATCTTCTAAAAATATGATATCTATCCACCATTAGAAAAAAAAGTCAAAAACATACATGTATACGTTTTTATTTAGCATACAGACAACAGGTGGTGCAGAGAAATACACCCACAACCGGAACTGTTACATATTTATAGAGTACAGTACTATAAGGGTCAAGCCTACCGTAATCTTATGGTTTACTTTAGAGTTAAGAGCACTGGAGGAAATTCCCTTCAATCAATCACCATTTTGGAACGATAAGTTAGTGGAACTCAAAGAAGAAAACAACTCACCAACGCCCAATGCACTTAGAAATACAATGATGTTTAAAAATAAAATTAAAAATCAACTATTTATTTATCTCCAAACCATAGTTACATTAGGATGCATTAATCATTTCATGTACAATATCGAAAAATAGTAATTTGTTGACTGAACAATGATATCTACAAAAGATTGCCACCCACAATCTCCAATGTGACAGTCAAAACATGAATAGACAAAAAGCACATATTGTACTTTTGTGAAAAGTTCTGTTAGGCCTATTTTTCACACATACCAAATGATCTACAGTGAGATTTGTAGATCTATAAACAGGATCTCTAACATTTAACATCCTTTAGATTAAAGCACTGGAATTCATTGACTAATAAAAAAAACATTTTGGGACTAAGAATATGTGATTTTGCCTGGTGGAACTAGCATAATCACTACGTTCATCTTCAGGCTGGTTCCACCAGACTGATTAGTCTTAACTGAAAATGTTAAGTCGTCATAAAACATAATACAGTACAAGAAAAATCATTATAAAGCATCAGACATGTGGAGGCAAACTAAACAGCAGCACCTCGTTTTACTTTTATATTTTATCATACATGCTGTCCAGCTAATAAGGGAGAACACACTCACACATACACCCAAACACACACACTCTTAAAACCAAACTGACAACGGTTTATCAATAGATAGACTGAGGACAGCTCTTTAAGGCTGGTAACATTAAAATAGAGGGCAGGGGAGATACAGCACTATTGCAGAAGATGCACTACTACACAAACATTGCACAGTTATCACAGTTATCCTAGTTTACATCTCCGGTCATTAATTTTGTGTAGAAAACATGCAAATCTTAACAGATGGTCTTTGTTGCCCTTTTAGCAGAAGCACTTTTCATTCACACAAGACAATGCATGCCACGCCATATCAGCCCATAAACTGTGGTTCCACCAGAAAAACAGCCAGGGGAAGGAAATGCCAACAATCTGGTGTAACTAAGAAATAGTAGCCTCATCATCTTTCTCAGGAGTAGAATAATTATCTAGGCAATGCCTCAGTCTCTCACATACATACAGGGTGAAATTGAGGGTTCCACCTCCTTACAATGGGAGACTGCAAACAATTTAAATTAATCTGTTAAATGACCATGGAAAAGTCACTCAAAAAACATGCATGACTCGAACAAGGCCGGGATTAGGCCTAGCCAAGCCTACATGGCTGAAGTTAGAGTGAATCTCTGGGACCACCTTATTCTGCACTTCCATGTAAAACATGTGGCTCATTTTAGAAGTCCAGCGAATAGCTTTATTTCAAATCAGCAGTATTCAACATCACTCGAGAAGTGAATGTTTGTCAGAAATTCACTGTACAGATCTGAATTTTGTATCAAACTTTCCTGTAAAGATTATTACATAACTGGCCTGAGATGTGTTCTTTGACTGTTGTTTGACTCAACATTATGTTGATCTCGTCAATTATGCACATTTATCAACTCATAAAAACTTGGATGCAACACTTAAGACCAAGACTGAAAATCTCATCTCACTGAGAAAGGGTTGATTTTTAGTGTTAAAAGGACAACAGACACAACATAGACTACATCCCACTAAGGGTCAACTGAAGTTTACGGAGGTCACAGAAGGTTGCTGTGGTGGTCCCACAGGTTTGGCAGTATTACATATATGCAATGAAGCATAAGTCATCCTTACCCCAAAAACGAATGTGTCTAGTTCTCAACACACACAATCATTTTACAGATTAAAACACATACTGTACATTAAATGAACACATGATCACTCATATTACAGTAAGTGGATGAGGTTAATACGATCGACAACCACTGATTGGGTGGCGGAATAGTACTTTTATACTATCAACCTCTTTTTAGACCAGGTTGTACATAAACCAAAGTGTACTTCTCGTCACCTGTTCATCAAAATAACCAAATTGTACTGACTCATAAGAGTCTTCTCTTCAGGTTTCAATGAAAAGAGGACTGAGGATGTATAAAATAAAAAATAAATTGTTCAAATAATGTACTTGCATCAGATGAATCCAGCAACTACATTTATACATGTAATGCCATTGCACAATGTTAAGCATCATCCTACCAAGGTTAGTTGCAGTAATAAATCGACACAACAGAACGTTTTGACCGTCAATTTTTGTCAACACAGACAGCACTGTTGGGGTGCAATCCAGGGATGCTGGCTTTACATGATAACACACTAAACTGGAGTCCAGTTCCTTGTCAACGTCATTATGTATCATGTGTAAACAAAGTGGAAATCCCGGTTTCTCGTGGGATAACCATAGACAGACTGGGCTCCTCTCACTCTAGACACTCTGGTTCAGTAGGTGACTGCTGCCATCTTTAGTTGAGGATGATTAAATTGAACGCCTGAATATAGAGCAGGGCTATTTAAACTGGCGGCCCGTGGCCAGATCCGGCCCATTTATTAATTTAGACTTGCCCTTTGATCAATTCTGAACATTAATAAAATATCTGAAAAAAAAAAAAAGCCAAAATTCGACATTCATTGCCAAAATGACAAGCAAGTGTAGTTTTGGCTGTTTTTAGCACCTATGTGGCATGTTGGTAATTTTTTTTCTTCATATAAATTTGTCTTTAGCGTTTGAACGGTTTAAGCTACAAAATATTATGACCCCATTCCTGAAAGCTACGAACACGTCCATGTCTTCGGTTTCCATTGCTGACGCTCACAAGGACTCGTTAGAAGGGAGTGTGACAAAAAAAATGCACCTAATGACTGAGGGAAATGAATTCAAAGAATACTTCCTTGGCATTACCTGATTTGACATATCTTTGTGTTTATTGAGATGCTTAGTTTTCAGATGATTTTCTAATGACCTAATTACTTTTAAGAAGCTTTTAATAGTGGTTTAAATAAATAAAAATAACGGTGAGCGAACGTTGCTCCTTTTATTTTTCAATGATGATAACAAAATGTCGGTTGCACCTCGACTCACGTTGCACCTCCACTTCTTTCTTAATTACTTTTAGCAACATTTAATTTGACAAAAATGTATTTATTGGTGTGTGTCTCCTTAGAATAATCACGTGGAAAATGTCCTGCAACTAACCTTTTTTTTTTTTTTTATCTGGCCCCCGTAAGAATATAGTTGAATAGCCCTGCTATAGAGTCATAAAACCAAGATGGCACCTTGCCTTCTAATATGGAAACAACTTTAAATATTACATAAGATGATTATACCCCTGCTCACATTTTGATTTTTGAACTCCTGCAATTAAAGAAAATAACTTTATTTACACAAATCCAGCCAAATTAAAATACACTACAGACTGCTTTAAAGTTTGTGAATATTCAGGTATATTCAGTATGCATTTAACTCAATTTACTTTTAATTGATTCTTATTGAGGAATAACATAACATACAGAACTGGCATTGAGCGCAGCCCAGGTTAGAGACAGAACTGTGCAACTGTAAAAGTGCCTGTGAAAAGGAAGGAAAGAGAGAAGGTGGAGAAAGAGAAAAAGGGAGTAAGGGAGAAATAGAGCCGGGGAGGAGAGTGGGAGTGAGAGGCCTCTACCAGTCTGCATTGTCCCAGGTTTCCTCAGCAGGTTTGTCAGGGGCGGCAGCGGGGCTCTTCTTGCACTTGGCCTCTTTGCCGCTGCCGGCGTTGTCCCAGTTGTTGTCCCAGGCCTCCCAGCTGTCTCCAGTGCTGTGTTTGTTGTTGGTTGCCGCCTCCGAGCCCCAGTTGTCCCAGCTGTCGGAGCTCTTCTTCTCTGTGGCAGAATTGTCGACGTTGGTCCAACTGTCGCTGCTTGGAGACTTCTTGGGCTTGGAGGAGCTGGTGCTTCCAAAGGTCTCCCAGAAGTCCTGCGCAGGGGCCTGGCCTGGTTCTGGGCCTGAGGAGTTGCCCTGGTAACCCTCAGTGGCGTCCATGTTCTGGTAGCTCTCTCCTTCTGACCTGTGGAAGAGGGTTAATCAAATAAAGCCACCCACCTAACTAAGGACATATACGGTATGTCATATCTCCAAGCCAAAGTATTTGATATTACCCGTCCTCTGGCTTTCCAGCAAAGAAGTCGCTCATGTCTTTCCAGCCTTTTGCACCAGCGCCCTGGACCTGAGAAGCGGGCACGTGTCAAACTCCAAAAAACATCTAGACATGAAATTATGTTGATAAAAAGTTAACTAATGAAATCAAGGGTTTACAAACATGTTTGTGTCAGATTCCAGTCAAAATATAACCTTTTCACCTAATCATTGACCTCTGTATTCATCACAATAGTTCATCACATTGTCCTTTACTTGACTCAAGTGAAGCTTGAACAAGTTAATATAATACAAGTACAGTTACATCTACATAGTACTCACCACCAGAATAACAATGGCAGCAAGAGAAATGGGAGATCAAATTGCATCATTATCTTCAAAATGTACATCAACACACCCAAACCAGTCTCCTTTTCAGGATAAGTCATTTCTAATGAATGCATAGCTTCCCATGACCCTTGCTCAGGAGACTGGTTGTCGGTTTGCAGTGTGGCAGAGGTCTGCCTTCTCCTACCTTGGATGCCAGCCCAGCAATGCTGACGGACATTTCATCTAGCAACTTGCCATCTTTTACCTGGACAAGCCAAATCAACGTTAATGGAAGAATGGAGACAACTTACAGCATCAAGAGGTGGGCGTGCAAATAAAGACATCACCCACCTAGGCTAGCTCAGGCAGTATTTCTTATTGAGAGCGATTGCAGATTTTACTGTGAGCAAAGTGGTTAGGCTTAGATTTTGTACTGAGAGGACATTAAGAATGTGGTGATTAGCCTATTTATAAGGAGACAGCAGGTGATTTCAGTTAGTCTCAGTCAACACCCATTTTTAGCAGCTATGTGGAATCTTTCTACATCAAGCAATTAGCTATTACACATGCACAGTGCACACTATCTAGACAGTCACCACAGCAGACACATTCCAAAGGACACAATGCACATTCAAATTTAAAGCTGGTTCTATTAAGCATATTAGCCTAAAGGGACCCACCACCAAATTAACATTAACTTCAAACAATGTTACCTTTTCGTGGGTAGGTTTGATAACATTCTCATTTAATGTCTGTCCTAACTCTGTGGCCTAGTTGGGAGTGAGAGGGAGAAAATGTGTGAATCAAACGAACAGTTCGACATTCACGGCAACGAAAGACACAGTTTCTGAGTAGCAGGCAGCTGAGGCAGGCGGGGGAACTGTCATTCCATTCATTAGGACATTAAACGAGCACAGTCAGCACAGCGGACGGACAGCTGACCAGCAAAGGGTAGTGAGCAATGGAACTGTCATACATGGATGGATAACCCTATGGTCGGTGAGTACAAAAGTAACGGTCACTTTACCCTGCCTTAATGTACATATCTACCTCGTACCCCTGCACATTGATCTGGTACTCCTTGTGTATAGCTTAATTATTGTCTACTTTATTCCTCGTGTAAGAATTTCACGGTAACGTCTACACCCCTTGTATTCGGCACATGTGACAAATAAAATTTGATTTGTTTATTATTGTGCCAAGATTTCTTTCTTTGTAAATGACAGGAATGTTCACACTCCTAGAACAGGTTCTAAACCATTTGGTATTATGAGCTACTAAATTTAAAGTGACCAAGAACTTCATATTAATAAATAATTTAACACTACAACCTTTAACATTAAGATTATCCATCAACTTAAAAAAAGAGAGACAGGAGAATGTTATTTGTCTACAGCCAAGCAAAAGCTTACAGTAACAGTACAGGTTGGGCTAACTGCATCAACCATTTCACAGGAGCAGGTTTAAACATTTGTGCATACAATATTGACCAGCCAACAAGCTCTGGGTGTGTGAGAATGAATGCATTCATAAAAACAATAAGTACATGAGATATGCAGGTATCATATGGACAAAGAGCATGCATTTGTTATTGGTTTTACCGGCTCTGGGGGTGGCTTATAGCCCCTTAACTATGTTCAGAGAAAGCGAGGTTAAAGAAGCGTCAAACAGTTCAAACTACAGTCAATTCACAGAATAAGGTCAGTTATTTCTGTCCAGTTAATTTATGAGCAAAAATACAAGGGAAATGTGTGTGGGGGGAAAAAAATCTATGTTCCATGAGCTCTAAAGGCTAAACATTTGCACTGCCGTTTCTACTGCAGAGGGAATAACATTCAGTAGTGCATCCATAGAAAGAATGAAGTTATAGAACATAAATATTTTTCTGTGGGTACATCACATGGAATTAGGAGATTGAGCCTCAACCAATATCTCGCTATGGTTGAATTATGATCAATGAAAATGTCTTATCACTCAAATCAATTACCCTAGCTTGGTATTTCCTTAGAGAGGGGGGCTAGAACTCTGTCTCTCTATAGCAGAGCATCATGTTAGTTATTACTTGAGCCATGAGAGAGAATGAGCATATGAATGGTTTCCTTATTCAACAAAAGGGGATTCACATAATCACGTCTTTATCAACTTTGTTAAATGGCATCTTAGACTTGTAAGGTTAAAATAGTTTGTTTGTATCTACAAATCCATATAAACAGTCTCATTTAAATACAAGTTTTTAGAGCACATGTACAGTAAATTGCAAAATTATTCTAAAAAATAATAATTCATAACGATATCTTAGTAGTCAGGGTTTTTTTCGGGATAAAAAGGGGCTTAGGTGTTAGGCGTGGCAGGGGCAATGGGTGCGGTCAATGGCATGGTCGCCGACTGAAAACTTGAGGCCCTCCTCTTGGCCATAGAGACAAAGTTTTGCTGGTTGAAATAAAATTTCCTGCAATTTTACACATTTTACCATGGGTCTGAGAGACATTTCAGTAAAAAAAAAAAAATACTGGGCCAACCGGCCAATACTTTTCTATGCAGAAAAAACCCTGGTAGTAACTAAAGGTAAGACTAATCAGTTACTAATAACTGTTTAACAAAAGGAATTCATACCTTTAGGGTTGCTGAAGTTGCAAGTTTTGCGGTCTGTTTCAGTGAAAAGATGGGAAAACGCAATTAATAAACAGTAAAATTAAGTTATTTGACAGGATAACAACTTTCCTTGGAGATACTTACATTATCCTTGGCGACTGCAGCAATTTTGCTAGCGCCGATGGTGAAATTGCTCCAGCCCTATAAAACAAAACATGTCACACGAGTCATCATGTGTCCCAAATGGTACTATTGCAGCGTTCAAGACTGGTAACTCGGAAATCTAAGACTTCAGTGCGTTCAAACAATGAAGATCAGTGACGCCATGAGTTGACCTTGTTTGTTCCCAGTTGTCTTAAAAGCACCATACAGTGGGGGAAAAAAGTATTTAGTCAGCCACCAATTGTGCAAGTTCTCCCACTTAAAAAGATGCGAGAGGCCTGTAATTTTCATCATAGGTACACGTCAACTATGACAGACAAATTGAGAAAAGAAAATCCAGAAAATCACATTGTAGGATTTTTAATGAATTTATTTGCAAATTATGGTGGAAAATAAGTATTTGGTCAATAACAAAAGTTTCTCAATACTTTGTTATATACCCTTTGTTGGCAATGACACAGGTCAAACGTTTTCTGTAAGTCTTCACAAGGTTTTCACACACTGTTGCTGGTATTTTGGCCCATTCCTCCATGCAGATCTCCTCTAGAGCAGTGATGTTTTGGGGCTGTCGCTGGGCAACACGGACTTTCAACTCCCTCCAAAGATTTTCTATGGGGTTGAGATCTGGAGACTGGCTAGGCCACTCCAGGACCTTGAAATGCTTCTTACGAAGCCACTCCTTCGTTGCCCGGGCGGTGTGTTTGGGATCATTGTCATGCTGAAAGACCCAGCCACGTTTCACCTTCAATGCCCTTGCTGATGGAAGGAGGTTTTCACTCAAAATCTCACGATACATGGCCCCATTCATTCTTTCCTTTACACGGATCAGTCGTCCTGGTCCCTTTGCAGAAAAACAGCCCCAAAGCATGATGTTTCCACCCCCATGCTTCACAGTAGGTATGGTGTTCTTTGGATGGAACTCAGCATTCTTTGTCCTCCAAACACGACGAGTTGAGTTTTTACCAAAAAGTTCTATTTTGGTTTCATCTGACCATATGACATTCTCCCAATCCTCTTCTGGATCATCCAAATGCACTCTAGCAAACTTCAGACGGGCCTGGACATGTACTGGCTTAAGCAGGGGGACACGTCTGGCACTGCAGGATTTGAGTCCCTGGCGGCGTAGTGTGTTACTGATGGTAGGCTTTGTTACTTTGGTCCCAGCTCTCTGCAGGTCATTCACTAGGTCCCCCCGTGTGGTTCTGGGATTTTTGCTCACCGTTCTTGTGATCATTTTGACCCCACGGGGTGAGATCTTGCGTGGAGCCCCAGATCGAGGGAGATTATCAGTGGTCTTGTATGTCTTCCATTTCCTAATAATTGCTTCCACAGTTGATTTCTTCAAACCAAGCTGCTTACCTATTGCAGATTCAGTCTTCCCAGCCTGGTGCTGGTCTACAATTTTGTTTCTGGTGTCCTTTGACAGCTCTTTGGTCTTGGCCATAGTGGAGTTTGGAGTGTGACTGTTTGAGGTTGTGGACAGGTGTCTTTTATACTGATAACAAGTTCAAACAGGTGCCATTAATACAGGTAACGAGTGGAGGACAGAGGAGCCTCTTAAAGAAGAAGTTACAGGTCTGTGAGAGCCAGAAATCTTGCTTGTTTGTAGGTGACCAAATACTTATTTTCCACCATAATTTGCAAATGTATTCATAAAAAATCCTACAATGTGATTTTCTGGATTTTTTTCCCTCGATTTGTCTGTCATAGTTGACGTGTACCTATGATGAAAATTACAGGCCTCTCTCATCTTTTTAAGTGGGAGAACTTGCACAATTGGTGGCTGACTAAATACTTTTTTTCCCCACTGTATATATGGACCCCTTTACTTCAGGGCTATGCATATTTCCAAATGCTGTGCCATATTACTGCCGTACCGAATAAATGGAAGATAGAGCGTTGTTCAGGACATCATCCTCCTTCTTCTCTGGAGTCGGCGTATTCCCAAAGCCAACATAGCGGTTCTCCTGATTCCCACTATAACCGCCACCACTACAGGGGAAATGGGAAGTTTTCATAAATGACAAGTCCCCATTCAGTGACCAAAAACATATAATATATGCCATTTAGCCAATGCTTTTATGGAAAGCAACTTACAATCATGAATACACACATGGGTGGACCCAGCAGGAAATAAAAAAATTACAATATGGTTGAAATGTAGCTTTATGCAAAAGTTTAAATTTTGTATTCTGTGGCATCTTACTTTTGTATTAAGACCCTGTGCTACAATTTGGGTGAGCATTCACAGATAAAGTCCTTGAAGTTGTTAAGTTTGATAATTATGGTTAAGAATACATTACATGAGAGAAAAACAGATTAAAGTGATCTTCTTTAAACAAAACAAAAATGTTCTCTGTGGCATCTTACTTTGGATTTAGACCATGTGCTTTATGTGTACTATAAGAGAAAAGCTGTACAGCTGCCTCAGAGAGGAGTGAGTAATGTTTACGATGGTCTCACCTCTGATAAGAGTTCACATCGTCACTCAGCCAGTCCTCAAACGCCTTGTCTGAAGGTTTGCCCGAGTTCTGCCCTGGGCCCCCTGAGCTACATTGGAAAACAGATGACAGATTATTATGAGACTTGATAACATTGGACATTAGTACTTTGGAAATATTCAAGTAGTCTAATACTTCAGCTATATGAAATAACACTCTTTTCACCCTTACCGATGGGGCTGGGCGATATGACCTAAAAATCATCAAACTTATGGGCGATTCACAATATATATATACACACACACCTCAATTTTTTTTGTATGTTCTCTAAATAAGCTTTGTTGTACAATTAAAAGGTCAAATACACTGCATTTCAAACAATCAGCAATAATCTAATTCAGGTTGTGTGAAATTAGGCGAAATATAAGCCCCACTAATAATTGTATTATTTTATAAAAATAGTTTACCAGATTTTTTGCAATAATCACTGATCTGCCTTTGAAGTCTGTCTATGAAAATGCCCTTTTTGTTACAAATGTAACCAGAACCATGCATAATGCACATTCAATAATAATGACAAACTTCTTGTAGCAGTTATTAAAGAAAGTTAACACAGGTCTCAAACAATCTCTCAAGCACAAACCGGTGTGCTCGTGAGTAGCCAGCTAATCTTTACATTTCAATTGTAGTCAACTAGGATCTATTTGCTAGCTAACAAGGCAGAACAGTTATGAACACACACACACACACACACACACACACACACACACACACTTCTGTCCATCTCCAACTGTTTGAACAGTATGCTAGCCTTTCCACTTTGTTCAGATGTTGAAATCAAGTGGCCTACCATATCTTTCAGAATGAGAACGAGTTTCCAATCCCTTATATAACTGTGTTTTATGCTTATTCCACATTTATAAAACACAGACTAGACAGCTAGTATAACAGTCTTTAGCTAAAATGCTGCTGGTGGTACCACAATGCCACGCACGACAAACTGCGCATATATTTTCCAGAATCAATGTTAATTGATACTCCTGTTTTAGTAGTGTCTTATCTGCGTGCAATTTCAGTGGTTGAGACATAAAAAGGGTATCGTTAGAAAGGTTAACTTCTCTATTACAGTAAAATAATGTCGCAATGTGTATCGGTGTCCATATGACCGATTCTGTTGGACCAAACCTCAATTGCAAATAGTGAGTTGAAACCGCTTGTCAGAGAGAAAAAAGTGATCTCTCAACTTTGTTGTTGTGTGGCAGGGGGAGGGGCTTGATGTGTGTGTGTGTGTAAACAGAGTTGAAGAGGTGAAGCGAGAGGTTCAGGGTGCATACACATTAACAGATGTGATTTCATTACTTTTCCATGACTTAACCAAATTTCTATGACCAACAATTGGCGGTGTCTCTATGTACGAATAAAAAAGTATGCGTAATGTGGTATCGACACTGCAAGGTTGCTCTCTGATCCCATGTCCGATCGATCTCATGTCGTTGAGAAAGGCACTTAACCCCCCACAAAGTAGAATACCTGTTAGGCAACTGTATAAAACGTGGTCAACCCTCAGTCTGGAGAGCTACTGGGTGTGCAGGCGTTTGATCAAGACCTGCTCAAAACAGAGCCAGTTTATCAAGGTCCGGTTGAGCAGCTCATTTCTAAAATGTGGTTTGTTAGAGGGGAATAAAACTGTAGACCCTGCCTCCAAAACTATTGAGTGTGCCGTCTTTAGCCAACTCTCTTGCTATCTCTCTCAGAATGACCTTCTTGATCCAAAACAGTCAGGTTTCAAGACTGGTCATTCAACTGAGACTGCTCTTCTCTGTGTCACGGAGGCTCTCCGCACTGCTAAAGCTAACTCTCTCTCCTCTGCTCTTGTCCTTCTAGACCTGTCTGCTGCCTTTGATACTGTGAACCATCAGATCCTCCTCTCCACCCTCTCCGAGCTGGGCATCTCCGGCGCGGCTCACTCTTGGATTGCGTCCTACCTGACCGGTCGCTCCTACCAAGTGGCGTGGCGAGAAGCTGTCTCCGCACCACGTGCTCTCACCACTGGTGTCCCCCAGGGCTCAGTTCTAGGCCCTCTCCTATTCTCGCTATACACCAAGTCACTTGGCACTGTCATATCCTCACATGGCCTCTCCTATCATTGCTACGCTGACGACACACAACTAATCTTCTCCTTTCCCCCTTCAGATAACCAGGTGGCGAATCGCATCTCTGCATGTCTGGCAGACATATCAGTATGGATGACGGCTCACCACCTCAAGCTGAACCTCGGCAAGACGGAGCTGCTCTTCCTCCCGGGGAAGGGCTGCTCTTCCTCCCGGGGAAGGACTGCCCGTTCCATGATCTCGCCATCACGGTTGACAACTCCGTTGTGTCCTCCTCCCAGAGTGCGAAGAGCCTTGGCGTGACCCTGGACAACACCCTGTCGTTCTCCGCTAACATCAAGGCGGTGACCCGATCCTGTAGGTTCATGCTCTACAACATTCGGAGAGTACGACCCTGCCTTACACAGGAAGCGGCACAGGTCCTAATCCAGGCACTTGTCATCTCCCGTCTGGATTACTGCAACTCGCTGTTGGCTGGGCTCCCTGCCTGTGCCATTAAACCCCTACAACTCATCCAGAATGCCGCAGCCCGTCTGGTGTTCAACCTTCCCAAGTTCTCTCACGTCACCCCGCTCCTCCGCACACTCCACTGGCTTCAAGTTGAAGCTCGCATCTGCTACAAGACCATGGTGCTTGCCTACGGAGCTGTGAGGGGAACGGCACCTCCGTACCTTCAGGCTCTGATCAGTCCCTACACCCAAACGAGGGCACTGCGTTCATCCACCTCTGGCCTGCTGGCTCCCCTACCTCTGCGGAAGAATAGTTCCCGCTCAGCCCAGTCAAAACTGTTCGCTGCTCTGGCACCCCAATGGTGGAACAAGCTCCCTCACGATGCCAGGACAGCGGAGTCACTCACCACCTTCCGGAGACATTTGAAACCCCACCTCTTTAAGGAATACCTGGGATAGGATAAAGTAATCATTCTACCCCCCCCCCCCTTTACTCCAACCCCCCACCCCCCCAAAAAAATAAATAATAATTTAAAAAAACACATTGTAAAGTGGTTATCCCACTGGCTATAAGGTGAATGCACCTATTTGTAAGTCGCTCTGGATAAGAGCGTCTGCTAAATGACGTAAATGTAAAATGTAATGTCTTTTACCAAATAGGGATATCTTCTGTATACCCCCCCACCTTGTCACAACACAACTGATTGGCTCAATCGCATTAAGGAAAGAAACTCCACAAATTAACTTTTAAGAAGGCACACCTGTTAATTGAAATACATTCCAGGTGACTGCCTCATGAAGCTGGTTGAGAGAACGCCAAGAGCGTGCAAAGCTGTCATCAAGGGTGGCTATTTGAAATATATTTGGATTTGGATTTGTTTAAAAAAAAATTGGTTACTACATGATTCCATGTGTTATTTCATAGTTATGTCTTCACTATTATTCTACAATGTAGAAAATAGTACAAATAAAGAAAAACCCTTGAATGAGTAGGTGTTCTAAAACTTTTTACCGGTAGTGTACGTTTTGGTAACTACGCTCATGGTAATCAGAATACTTAGCACCCTAACCACCGCCCGTTCGGAGTAAGAAACCAATGAATGTATTCACGTGTTTGCAGCTCGTCTAGCTCTGTTGACCCAAGCCCTCTTGGAAAGGAGGTTTTGGCTGGGTCTTCGCTCAGCTCACTTGTAAGGCTCTGATTGTCCACCAGAGGTCACAATGTCCTTCTTAGAGCTTCTCTGGTAGTGAAGTGTTTGTTAGAACAATTACTTCAGATGCACCAATGGTTGTCTGAGATGGGATTGTCCAGCTGCAGACTGGTAATGCTACGGTCTAGTGAGTTTCTTCTATGTTTTCTCACCATTTCAAACGTGTGGACTAACGTCTCACGTTTCCTGGTCTTAGAGTGTCAACCATTTGTAACGTTCAGCTCCCACTGTACGTCGGCTGGTCTGTAGAAGTTCAACCATTTGTAATGTGAGCTCGCGCTTCACGTCGGCTGGTCTTTCTGGTCTAACCATCTTTAGCCATGTAGACACAGCTCCACGCTTCCTGGTCTTTCTGGTCTCTGATTCAAAGTTCTAACGCTTCTAAACGTGCAGTCGCCACTCTCACGTTTTCTGGTCTAATGTACATTTCGTTACCAAGGCTTTTATACTCGGGTAAAAAGGGGCCGTTCCATCACGCCAACACAATGCCTGTGCTCACTTGGGCGTGGTTACTGACTGGGCAAAAGTTTATATAAAACAATTCTCAGAAGAATAAAATCACATTTATATCTCCACAAAAGTACTCTCATACTTAATCATATTTTATACAACATTTAGATGTAAACTTGATAACTAGAATGTGTACACTTTCAGAGTTATTTATTTATTTATACCATCCTTAATGACATCACAAAATAATAAACAATATGACATGATTATTCTTTAAGTTCCTACTGACCATTCTGAACATTTGGATGTCAGAAATAATGTTCCAATGTCCACGTAAAAGTTTTGGCGGCAAAAGTCTCTGTAACAAAGAGATTTCTTTCCCAATACTGCAGGGCAAGAAAGACCCGTTTGCGGCACACAATTTATGACCAGGTGTTAAGGTGTCAAAACCAGCACAACTCCCCCTCTCCTCTCCTGTGGGAGAGAGGGGGGGGGGGGGTCTGGCTATCTGTCAGCCATTTGCCACTTTGATCTGGCACCTTTAATCCTCACCAAGGAGAGAGTCATGACACTTCAGAGTAAAGCATTAAAAACAAATCAAGCAACCCAGAAAAGTGCTAAAAATAGCCCATATTAACATATGTAGCCTAACAAACAAGGTTCATGAAGTCAATAACTTCCTTGTAACAGATGACATTCATATTCTGACTATCTCTGAAACCCACTTAGATAATACCTTTGATGATACAGTGGTAGCAATACATGGTTATAACATCTACCGAAAATACAGAAATGCCAACGGGAGCGGTGTTGCGGTCTATATTCAGAACCACATTCCTGTAAAGCAGGGCTGCCCAACCCTCTTCCTGGAGATCTACCGTCCTGTGCGT